CTTGTAGCTTTGGCCATCCCATAATGCCATAACATAACCCCTCTTACAAATGGGAATTATTTGACTGGCAAAACAAGCAAACACACACGTACACACTCCACAACAACCTCAGTTTTTTCCCACTTCTCCTCCTTTCTTCTCTTTCCATGATCTGAACAACACCCCCATCATATCTTTTTTTGCTTCTATATCTCACTTTCTACATCCCCTTATGGCTGCTTGTGCTTTGTTCAGTGCTGCCACTAACATTACCGAAGATGGGAATGTTAACAACGCAACTGCAAGTGCTGCTAGTCCTCTCACCAGTGCTTCTAACTCCAGCAACATGAGCAACGACGACCAACACACCCTACATGGCATCGTGCCACAGCCTCATTGTGAGAGGAAAATCGTCAGGAAAAGAATGGCTTCTGAGATGGACCATCTTAACGTTCATCTCACTCCACCACACAACTCTTCTTCCACCACTGATTATCCTAGGTTTCCTCGTCGAAGCTCCGCCAACGTCAACATGTCATCCTTAGAAAAAGGGTCCACCACCACACCTACGTTAGCCGCAGGTACTTGTAGTAATAATGGCAATAATAATAATAATACTAGTAATAACTATCATTTTAATAATAGCAACCATAATAGTAGAAGTGGTAGTATTTCGTCAAGAGATAACGTTGGCATTCCAAATTACCCCACTGTGGCCGTCACAACCAACTACTCCACTATGTTGCTACCTTCTTCCACCACCATCAATTCCTCTGGTGTTGCTCCAAACTACAGTGCTCACCAACACCATCATTTCCAAGGGCTTGTTGAAAGTCAAAGCCAGGACCAGCAGAACCCCGTGCCTGCAGTGTGTGGATTCTCGGGATTACCACTTTTTCCATCTCAAAGCCAAAGGAACCGAGACAACAACAACATGAACAACACCGCCACCACCAACCTAAGAACCAGTGGTGGAAATATTGTCGACGTGGTTGCTTCTTCTTCTTCTTCTCCTTCCATGGACGACACTTCGGCCGCCACGAGTGGTTGGATCGATGGTATATTGAAGGATCTCATTCACAGTTCAAACAGTGTTTCGATTCCCCAACTAATTAGCAACGTGAGGGAGATTATATACCCTTGCAACCCCAACCTTGCAACGATTCTTGAATACAGGTTGCGTCTTCTCACTGAGTCCGCCCCACAAAACAAAAGAGGCACAGAAGGGGTGCCTCTTCCACCTTCTGTGTCCTCAGTGAAGCTCGTGAATAATCGTGTGGATGGCATTGTTCCTAATCTGCACTTCACAGACGGATCAGGTGGTCCTGTGGTTGTGAATCAGCACATGTTGTCCAATTGGGGTGTGCCTCCAATCACTCACCACCACGATAGCAACGCCAACAACAACAGCAACACCAACAATAACCCTTCAGTTTCTTTGGTTACTTTGCCTTCACCGCCACCACCACCCCATTATTCACCGCCACAAGAGAAGCAGCCTCACCCTCAAGAGGAAGATCTAGCAGCAACCAGCAGTGCTGAGGTGGCACTCACAAGAAAGAAGAAAGAAGAGTTGCGGGAACAGAAGAAGAAAGACGAGGAGGGTCTGCATCTCCTCACTTTGCTGCTGCAGTGTGCAGAAGCTGTTTCAGCTGAGAATCTAGAAGACGCCAACAAGATGTTGCTAGAGATTTCCCAATTATCAACACCGTTTGGCACATCAGCACAGCGTGTGGCCGCTTATTTCTCGGAAGCCATATCAGCAAGGTTGGTGAGTTCATGTTTGGGGATATATGCCACTTTGCCACACACCCATCAAAGCCACAAGGTGGCATCGGCTTTCCAAGTGTTCAACGGAATCAGTCCTTTCGTGAAGTTCTCACATTTCACAGCAAACCAAGCTATCCAAGAAGCTTTTGAAAGGGAAGAGAGGGTGCACATCATAGATCTGGACATAATGCAAGGGTTGCAGTGGCCTGGTTTGTTCTACATTCTAGCTTCAAGACCTGGTGGAGCCCCTTATGTGAGGCTCACGGGGCTTGGTACTTCCATGGAAGCACTTGAAGCCACGGGTAAACGTTTGTCCGATTTTGCAAACAAACTTGGTCTTCCCTTTGAGTTCTTCCCGGTGGCTGAGAAAGTAGGGAACCTTGACCCTGAGAGGCTCAACGTTAGCAAAACCGAAGCTGTTGCAGTTCACTGGTTGCAACATTCCCTCTATGATGTCACCGGCTCAGACACCAACACCTTGTGGCTCTTGCAGAGGTGGGTGAAGGGTTTTACTCCATTCATTCATTCGATGCATTGCATGGGTTTATGTTACTTCTTGCGTAATTTGCATGATCCGGAGGGAGTTGAAATAAGCTGAGTGGGGTTAGTACATAGGAAACTAGTCATGGTACTTTTCAAGAAAGAAGTCCCCAAAATCCCTTTTTCACCTTTATAGGCTCTAGTACTCACTTTATGTCTCTGCCCTTTTCTTTTCTAAGGAAGATCGGGAATAATGATTATGTCTAGTTTTGAATTACTCTCTGCACATATCTTAATGGGGGAGAAACAAAAAAAAAAAAGGTAAGAAGAGAACTGTAGAGTGTATATATATATATATATATATAATAAGTTTTGAAAGAAGGGGTGATGGGTCTAGTGTGTTTATTATTACTTACATTGTCGCTATGTAGTTTCTGGAGTTTGAAGGCCAGATAGTGGAAAGATCAAGAAAAAGCTATTACTTTTAAGTACCTATCGTAAAAGTTACTGGATATAGTAATTCTGAATTGAACTTGTCTGCAAATGTAAAGACACTTTACACTGCATTTGTTGCATGGACTTGTGTAATGCAGGCTGGCACCTAAAGTGGTGACTGTGGTAGAGCAAGACCTAAGCAACAGTGGTTCTTTCTTGGGGAGGTTTGTGGAAGCCATACACTACTACTCGGCGTTGTTTGACTCTCTTGGGTCTAGCTATGGGGAGGAGAGCGAAGAGAGGCATGTGGTGGAACAACAGCTATTGTCTAGGGAGATTCGAAATGTGCTAGCTGTTGGAGGGCCATCAAGAACTGGGGAGCCAAAGTTTCACAACTGGAGGGAGAAGTTTCAGCAGTGTGGATTTAGAGGTATATCTCTAGCTGGTAATGCTGCAACTCAAGCTAGTCTACTCCTTGGTATGTTTCCATCAGAGGGTTATACCTTGGTGGAGGACAATGGCATCCTTAAACTTGGTTGGAAGGACCTTTGCTTGCTCACTGCTTCAGCTTGGAGACCTCCATTCCATAGTGGCACTGCCATTACACATCACAACTAGGCTCATTCTAATAATCCTATGTAGCATCCATCTTAGGTGATCCCAAAGCATGTGATTTTTCTTGCCTACTGTGTACCCACTTCAGCAGTAACGTAAAAAAAAGATGATGTAGCTAAAATAGGAAAGAATGATGACTAAATGGTTGAAGGGGTACCCCACTTTTGACATAAAGCGAGAAAGTTCTCTTGCTCGGGGAGCACTTGAGAGTTTTTCTGATAGTATTTTATTAAGAGAACTTATGAGGATGTTACTATTATATTCTGATTTTAATGGTTAGCCCCAATGAGTGAGTTTGCTGCTGGTTTTCGAGTATTACCTGCACTTTACTACTAATGTAAAATTTTGTTACCTCAAATTGATCTGACCATTGTTGGTTGTTCAGTTGGGTTTGTAGCAGTGACTTCTTGAATGGCTTCTCAACCGCATGATATAGCACGAAGGGAAAGCATATTCTAAATTTGGATACTTTCATTTTTCTTTTTTCAAGGAGCACTGTTAAAAGAGATCCATGCCGTAAAAGACAAAGTCACTGTAGAAGAATCCACCTTCATTACTTCTGTTAGGAACATTCAATGGTCTTTTTTGTAAACACTTTGTGCTTTTCTTTCTTATTTATGGCACAATCTTTTGTTTGAGGAAAAGGAAAATCAGAAGCTGCACATTCTAAAGTGACATGGCACTTCGGGAAAACATTGCAATCTTCAAAATAATGTATTTTATTATGCATTAGATTTTACTAAACCACTCCTGAAAACAAGCGGTGAACTTTAATTTCTTTGGATAGCACTACGATGTTTTTTAAATTAAAGACAATTATACTTTGAAATCTATCGCATTCGTGTAAATTTTATCAAACGTTTGATGTGTTATTAATCCATTTTGGTTTCTGAAATAATACGTCATGCTATTGAAAGTGAATGATGAAGTTCCATTATTACATGGAATAGTTTTTTTTTTTTTCTAGTATGATGTGAATTCAGCTCGATTATTTTATATATTACTTTCTTCAGTTACGAAGAGGGTAAAGACGAAATACTCCATTAAATTTGAAGTTTGAGCCCGATAACAATTAATTAAGAAAAGCCTTTAAGCAAAACTGTTCTCGAGGTCTACTATATTTTTAATATTCAAGAAAGTGGTAAAAAGTTAGAAATCTAAAATAACTTAAAATAATGCATACACTAATCTCGAATCCATACCTAACCTTGGTATCCCTAAATAAGTGTCTTCTACACTTCAAAACGAACTGTTTTTAGGTGATCTTATCAATAACACATTTCAATAGTTTGTACGAGATTAAACATAAAATATGTTCCTTTAGGCCGAACAAGAGTATTTCCATTGGAAACTTTTTAAAATAATTCATTATAAATACAAACATTATTTGAAGCTGAATTTCACAAATGAGTTTTTTACAATTAAAAAATAAATTATCATATAAACCAATCCTTTTAACTCTTGAAAACCCATATTTATGAAATTTAGTGAGTAAGAAAGTCCTAAAAAATGCTCTAACAAAGCATATTTTACGGAGGTTGTCTAGAGTATTGGCGGAAACTATAGACAATGTCAATCAATCTCATTGTCTCAACGTATATTCAGAGTGCAATGTACCACACTTCTCGATCTTGGATACTACTGTCTACGAAAAGCACGTTTCACTGATACAGCAAACAATAATGAATTGCAAAGAAGAGTAGTTACAGTTGAAGTATTGCTAGAGGACAAAATTGTTACTTTTTCTTTTATAGAGCTGTTGGACAACATTCTTGTCATCGAATAGAAAAAACATGGGGCAAATTATGAAGCAAAGAACTAGAACAAATAGCTCTACCTGTTTCACAGCTACGAATAATTTACATCATGTAGAATAATAAAATCTTGAAACAAACAATTACTGTCTTTATATTGAGTTATTTTTCATGGACCAGCCTTGCTCATGTATAAATCTTCATAGTGCCCACCAGCACAGTGGGGGAAAACCTCAACACCAATTAGCTATCTCGAAAACAGTGAGGCTACTCAGATTTCTTGATCCTTTTGCCAGAAATGCAGGGAAGTTTCCAGGTTCCTTATTGACTGATTAATTTTATAATTGGTGTGTCAATCTCATCACCACCTTTTCCACAAAACCCCTTTGAAAACTAGATCACAAAATTGAGCACCCAAAGCACAGGCATCCTCTTGTTTCTTAAGAGCTCAACCCTACAACTTCCAAAACATGCAAGCTTACATAGGAACCATAACTTATTATGAATTTACATTGCATTCACTTAAAAGCTGATCCTCTTTGTTCAGAAACTTCTTCCAATAGCTCTTATACTGTGGAATTCCCAGATCAAGCCAAGGTTTCATGTTCCCATTATAGTGTAGCACCGGAGCTGTCTTAATGGACTGAGACTCAATGGTATAATTATGACCTAGTCCAGACACAACCCACTTATCCAGTGGATGTATTCTATTCTCAAAGGCGAGCAAGCTTGCCCGCCATGCAATACCTTCAGCAGATCCTTCTTTCACGGTCAACTACAAAAGGAAATAGAAGATCAGAAAATGTAAACAGCCCAAAATATGCACGACATAAACTTTCTTAAAATTAACTTCCATCTAACTTTTTTCCTTTGGTCATAAACTATCAAAAGGCTCTCCTATGTTAAAGACTAATCAAAACTTGATAGGCCCAATTGATCGATAGTGTGGGCAGGGCTTGTTCGAATTTGGGCTAGCTGCAATAAGTCAGGCCGAAATAAGTTTAGCCCAGACAACACATTTTATTGGTTTACAGGGGCAAAATCCATGAAGCTTGGCCCCAAATTTGACACTCATTGCCAACTATATTCAACTAGACTATCTCAATACTGTTATTTCCAACGATAGTGTTTTCTGTAAAGATGTATTTTAATTGTAGATAAATTAATTTACTTACCTCTTTTATCAACTTTTTGTAAGTTTGAGTCAGACCAAGTTCTCTCCACCTCCCCAGGTCAATTATGTTCAACCCCGACATCCATGCACAGGAATTGTGGCTGAAACCTTTCTCGCCCAGATAACTTCTCAGTTGACCCAGCTTTACTGAGCAGAACTGCTCTGCACCATTAACTTTATCTCCCAAGTCTATGTTCCACAAAGCAGATAAGTCTTGCTGTATAACAACATCATCATCCAGAACCACAACTTTCTTCAAATTGCTGAATAAATCAGGAAGTAAGTAGTGGGAATTAGAAAAAATTGAAAGGTATTCCGTTCTAATCTGGTTCGTGGATGGATTATCATAACCACGAAATGAAACCCAGAACTCCTCAGGCAAGGATAGAGGCAATGGATTTTCCATTTGGCTGTCCTGCTCAACATTCACCACTTGAACAGCAGCTTTTTTAAACTGGTTCCTCAAGAACCAGAGCTTCATTGCATAATAGTTTTCTCTATCAGTCAACACATGAAAAACCTGATTCAAACTTTCCTGAAACAACGTGCAGCCACAAGTAAAATTATTATTATAGTCGCTAATATTCAACCTTTATCAAATACAGGACTAGAAGTATAACATACTTTTGCATGAAATACAGTGGAGTTGATTACTACTGAAGCTGCAAGCACATTATTAGAGAAAATAACATAATGCTGCAAGGAAGAATCAGTAAACTTCTCTTCGTTAGCTTTTTCGTCGTATTGTGGGGATTTGAAATATTCTACAGTTAGTTTCAGTGACAGGCAGTGAAGACTCTTCGGCATTGTCAGCACATTAAGTTTATACAAGAATGCACTCTGTTTCATGTGGAACTTGGCTTCATCCTCGGTCAAATCAAATATTTGTCTCAATTTCTTGTCCACATTGGTGCATTCCACAGGGACTGATTTTATTCTGCTTATTGTATTTTCCATCTTCTTTGAATAACTCTCAGCCCTGTAAAATAATATTGATTACAATGTAAAGTTTCTAGCACATTTATAGCATTTTAAAAGTGAAAACAAAGAGACGCAGGTATAGTCAGTCCTGATTACGAGATGTAATAAAACTATTCATATGCTTAAACCTAAGATGAGATCTTTGCTTTTGGAAGTTAGTTCAAGAAAATCTCATTCACCGAGTGGTAACTAGTTTAATCCTTTCTGCCCCCGAATTCCTCTGAATAAAAGTTGAATCAGAACATGAAAAAATGAGCAACTGCATTGTTTGCTTCAAGCTCAAAGGCTTTTGCATGAGGGTGTGCTAAGAGATAATAAACCAATCAAGTGTCTACACCTAATACCTTTAGCTTTCAAGGGAGTTGATTCGTGACAATCCTGAAAGGTAAGAATGACAGCAATAGCTTTTGGTTTGAGGTAAAGCAACATAGTAAATCCAAAGATAAAACAAAGTCGAGACAAGAAAGAAAGATAAGGCTATGCTTCGGGGAATAATGTATAGACCAATGATTGTCTAGGGAACCATGAATGTTGGAACTACTTTAAGGATTGTCTAGAAATGTGAAAATCTGGATTAAAAAACTACCGAAAACCTGATCAGCAAGCAGATATCAAAACAGAAATTAATTATTTTTTATAAGACTACTTGATTGAGGATGATATTTTCCCTAATTGCAACTATGAAATTCCAATAACAGTTCAAACAAAACGCAACTCAGACAAGTAAACTTTTGGCCAAAGGATAAATAATACGAATATATCAGCTTACACTGGTGGAAGATCAGCATCTGAGGTAGATTCACTAAGCATGTGCTCCATCTCTTGTATATTCTGTTTCAGTTGGCGAGACAATTTATCTTTTGCTGGGAGTTTTGCAATGCTAGGATAATAAGCTCTAGTCACAAATAGTTGGTCTTTCAATTTCTTAATCAGTGTCTCTTTCATTTCTTGTCTATGTTCTTGTTGCCATAGGCAATAACTACCAAATGTGATCTGACACGAATTTCTGTCTTCATTGGTAGAGCTTGTTTTTGGGTGGGTGGCCTGTTCAATATGATCACTGCTAGGATTCTGTTGCAGAACTTAATCGGTGTAAGTTCTTATATGAATGACAATATATAAAATAACTTACAAAAAACTTAGCTGGGGAATAATAATGTGTGCAAGTTACATAACTTTATGTTATACTATGAGTACTACCTTTGGACTCGAACATAAGAAAAATTAATTACTTTCACACTAATTAAGAATAATAGTTAGGTTCATTTATTATTCTTGTATCTATACAATAAAAAGGTACTTTTACTAAATGACCTTCTAATATTTAGTGGGGATAGTGCTTAGGTTTATAACTGAGGGTGTTTTTGAAAAATTAGCATCAAATAGGATTGAGGTCGTTGAAATTTACTTATATTTAAGTTCACCAAAAACATTACCTTTATTTTTACTTATATTTACAAAGCTTGGTAGTGTTATTGGTCTAAGCTTGTATTGGTTGGATCATATTGGTGGATGGCCTATATTATTATTAGCATTGTACCAATCTGATCAATTAATAATCATTGGAAGATATAGTTTCAACATGGTGCGAGCAAAGCATTCACTTTCCATCATGACCTTTCCTCCCTTCCATTGAGCAGAATAGATTTCCCCCACATCTGAAACTCTTTCTTGTATGCCATCATGCCTTTCTCATCAAATATTTTCCCTTTTACAATCTTCTTCCCATAACAGCTGCAAGAAGACCCTGTCTATGTTTTCTGCTTCTGGTTTTACTACTTAAGGTAGTGTTAGATGGCATGACTTTCTCCATATTATCTTAGGTCTTAGTATGCTATAATGTTATTGGATCAGCATCGTACCAGACACACTAGATAGTATAATTGGGACCTGGATCAATATTATGAAGTGAACTATTGAGTGCTATTAGTTGGTTAATGTGTTAAATAGAAGTTTCAACCAATTACAGTAATATATGCGTACATTTGAGGTTGGAGGTGATTGCAGAACATCATTAGGTGGCACCTTAGAACCTGAAAATCATTAAGATTAAAAGCATAAAAAGGAGGGAAATGAGATACAAGAAGGTATCATGGGATGTGGGTAGTCTTATCAATGGCAGTAGAACAACCTCTTTGTTTACGATATTGAAGGAGACTCGAGGAAGGAATTAATAACACTAAATGCATAATAATTCTTCTAATTCTGTGGACATCCAAAAATGAGTGCCTCACCATCTGGGTAATCCTTTGATTCTTCTATGTTGAGTATACGTCAGATAAAAAAGTCACACACTAAATCCTTATTCAGACATAAAGACACCATATAAAATTTAAAATTTAAATCCCCATAATAAAGAAAATAGAAAATGAACTTGTTTTGATCTTTTGACAAGAAGTAAAAAAGTCACCAGGTCACTGGGTATAACCCATCAACCATTAGGACCTATCTAGGAAGGAGTCGACTATAGCTGTCTGGAATAACACATAAGAAAAGACGCAACAAAAGAAAATTAAAAAATACAGATTACAAAGAGAAGAGCATTCTCTTGCTATATTACTGAATCTCATAATCATATTAGGAATGCATGTTCAATAATACATACTATTTATACACGCAGTAGTCTAGTATTATCATTTATATCAGATTAAATTATATGCATTATGTCTACTAAGTCTATGAGATAATAATATGTAAATTAAAATATTTTATTATATTCTCCACCACTTGGTCACGTTCAAAGAATGAACTTTGCAAGTTAAGTCTTTCGTTACCAAATAATCATAAAAATAGAAAGGTAGCTGCACTAACATCCGTGGTTCCAGCCACTGGTTATGGAAATCCAAAGACAGCACAGTATCATAACACAAAATATATCAAAATCACAACCTTAACTGTAATTGTTAGAAAGGAAGGGAGAATTCTTAGAACCCAACGTTTGACAGAGCAATGATAGCATAAAGTAAACTGAAGTGTGGTCTGCAAATAACTAAGATATTGGGTTTGCTTGGAAAATCTTCAATATAAAGATTTTTAGGACAGAAAAAAAAAGAAAGAAAAATCAAATTAGCTTTTCCATAAATTAAAATTAGTTTATGTACAAGTTAAATTGTAGAAGATATTTAACTTAGTTTCTTCAAAATCTTATGTTTTAATTCATAGCTAAGTTAATTTCAACTTTTTGAGAAGCTAATATCATTTTTCCTTCTTATTTTTCTCTCATAAAGGTGTTTATGGACAAGTTTCTCCAAATAGGACTACAGTACACAAAAAGAACTAAAAATACAAGAGCAATCTGTCTTATTAAACAAAAAGAAAAGCAAAATGAAAGCTACCAATACGTCAAAAGGAAAAAAAGTGGAGTTGAACAAGATACAAACTTTTAAATATAAATGTGGCAAATAACTATAGCTTAACTGTTGTAAGTTGTATGGCAAGTTTAAAACTAAAATCACTAGATCTTTTGGGCACTGGTTCTTGCATTATAAGGTGTTCACTTTTTTATGTATCTATTTGGGGATTTTGGTTAACATTGGATGTGTCCTACTTTGGAACAATTTCTAATGGTTAGGTACAAAGGCTTCAGAAAAATGGAAGTAGCACATATCTTAGGGTAATGCAAAGTTCATGCAGTTCTTTAATACATTTAGTTAGTTAGGATCGGATTATTTTATGCCTCTCAACCATGGGATGGTAAAGAATGCATGGTATTCTTCTAAAATGCCATGTAAAAAATACTTACTTTGGCTTTTATAATGTATTTTTCTTTTTCTGTTCCTGGGAATTCTTATCCTTCTCTTTTGTATGTACTTTTCATCACTTTTTCATTCTAATGAATTTATTTATATACTAAAATCATAATAAAAACAAAAATCCTCAACAACTTACATGGAGGGAACATTAAGATTGAAATGGAACCAGAAACCTTATAATGATGACAGTTACAGAAACATGATTGACCCTCCATCTTTTTGGTTCAAAGTTTATGAGAGGGGGGATTTTAATGAAGAGAATGGGGTTGGAAACTATTAATTTACATACCCTTTAGACTAAAACAAAACCATTGAGCTTAAAAAGGATAACTTGGTCAGCACAATTCACAAAACTTTAAGCACTGTTTCCACCTTCCAACCTCCCCCACATTAGACGGGTTAGACTGGTTGCAAAATCAAATAAGGGGTTTATTTATCTTCTTATTTCCCCTCCCACCCTTGCATTCCCTCCCACCAAGAACTGTTCAGTTTTCTTTTCGATTACAGTTGGCAGGATTAAACATACACATTTTCCTTCTACAATTAAAAGATATGACAGAATTAACAATTAATAGCAAAAAAATTTTATCAACAAGAAATGCCGAATTTAACCAACACAGTATTATAGAGTACCTTTGGAAGAGTAGGTTCAAACTTTGTTATCAATTCCTTCACATGACTTGATTGTTCTCCCTGCAAAAGAAATTTACAATGCAACATGAATTTGATGTTTGGGGGCATAAGATTTAACTTTTTGAATGTTTGTATCATAAGTTATATCAGATTTGTGCACCAGTTATACGTTCCTTTTGGACTTCATTACTAATCACTGTTTTATGCATGTATACTGATTACTGATATACTATTTAATGAACGAATTACTTACTCTTTTTTTGTTTGCTTTGAGAATACCACATCAATAATAGTGCACATCAATTTAAAATTAGAAAAGTATTCAATCATCTCAAACTTAAGAAAAAGTAACTTATGTCGTTAGTTTTTCTGCAATTGTGGTGACAACTGTAAGTTGCCCACAACTAAATTTGTGAGGTTATGATCAACAATATTCTAAGGTTAACTAATTACTGATACACTATTTTTTCGTGTACAACGTTAAGCACCAAGGTTTCCTGATTACTGATACACTATTAAATGGTTGAATTTATTGATCATTTTCTCTGTTTTGAGAATATCCTGCCAACAATTGAGCACGCCAATTAAAAATTTGAAAAAGTATTCACTCATTTGACAGCCTAAAAATAGAACTTACACTGGAACTTCTATCTATTTCAGCAATTTGTCATAACTGTAACTAGACCACCACTTAATCAGTGAGGTTACTATGACCAACACTATACCACCTAAGAATGCTAGAACAAATGGATGGGTGTACCAATAAGGTGTAAACCACCATACCTCAGACTCATTATGACCAACATCGTGTCTATCATAACTTTCAAGACTTTTCTGATTCTGATTTGAAAAACAACAGACGTGAAGGGAGAACATAAAAAAAGAGACATCAGTACAGTGAACACCAACATGGAAAAATTGTAACAATTCACAGATACTATTGTTGAATTGAAAGCTTACTGAAGGAGAATTCTTCTGTTCATATACATATCCTGCAAAATTGCAATGATAAATGAATACCAGGGTAAGGAAAAACAAAAAAACAAAAGAAATCAAGTCAAGGCACAAGACCTTCGATCAGAAGAGCAAATTCGACTACAAATAAAAGTGTATTTATGACCACTAATAATAAGTTCACATAAACTTTTCTGATAAATGCATGTAAATATATCCAAAGCACGGTACATGAATGTTAGAATTCCATTATAGTAGAGATACAAAACTATACAGAAAAATGCTATTTGCGAAAAAAGTGAAATGCAGATTATTCACTAACTCGATTGAATGGAGTTACTTCATTCATAATTGCAGTCACATCTCTAAAAAATTAAAAACAAACCATTGATTGAAACATACGTCCTGTGCTCCGAGGTTTTCATGATCCAATTATACGTACATTTAACCTTTCCGTCGTAAACACGATTTTACTATGTTTATGACAATTAAGACAACAATTAGATGCATTTTCTTACATGCTGTTTTACAAACAGAGAGGTCCACAACACAAATGCATTATGACAGTTAACGCCAATCTTTATTACACAGTTTAAATTGAAACTCTCCTTAGCACTGTACTTAAGTTCCATCCACCTTATCATTATTATTATTTTCACTATAAAAGCAAAACGAACATACAGATCTTTCATTGAATGCAAAAGAGTTCCGAGCTTGAAGTAAGGATGGAAATAAAACTCAATTCATTGATTAAAAACAAGCGGAGATTCGGCGACGCCGTTTCTTGCGCTGTGACTGAAGCGTTTAGATCTAGAGCGTACTGCAGTGTGGCGAACGAGGAAGAGAGCGAAGATAGAGAAATAGGAGGCTTAATTGGCGCGGATCTGGAGCGAAAGGAAAATGTGGAATAACGGAAGAGCGTTAATAGAGAGGAGAGAGATCTCGGCGAGATCGTACCGGAAGAGTGGAAGCCGTTGTGGAGACCAAGCAAGAAGACGAGAGGAACGAGCATGGAGAGAATGACGAGACCGAGCACCGCAATCACGAGCCCTCTCCACCGTCGTTTCGCGGGTACGCCGTACGACGGAACCGCGCCCAAACCACCGCTCTTCATCGGAGTTTGTTTTTTTATCTTCCTCTTTCTTCTCTCACACTATCTGTGGAGATGATATACCCCCTTTCTCTCTCCGTTTCTTTCCCTCTCACTCTACTTCTCTCGCTTTTCAGTTTTTTTTTTTTTTTTTAATTGTTTCTCATTTTGTGATATTCCGGTTCGCTTTTCGCGAGCGTATTATTGGACTCCAGTAATACCTTTATTATTTTTGTATAAAATGGTTTTTGCTGTATTTTAATATTTCTCAACCGCCGACTGAGGAGTTAGTTTTATTTTTCAGTAGCATTTTCCGCTCCTCTACATGCTTCCATTGGTGGGCTGGCGCGAGCCTCGGTCCTTGCCCTACGATTGGATAGTGAGATTTGGAAAGATAGATTTAATGGCGGGTTAAGTTGTTAGATTACCGGCTATGGTAGGTATTCGGTAAAACTGTTAGGAAATTGCAGCGACTGAAGACAGGTGGATTAATTTGAAAAATTCGTGTGTATCAGATTTTTTTTATTAAATTTAGAGTCTATCTTTCGGATATGTTTCATGTGAATATTTTAGACCATCAGTTACTTCAAAATCATCTAATAATTTTATTATCATAACAATTTATAATTAGATGTTAATAATTTATTTATATTTTATATACAGCTTGACAAAAACAAAATATAGCTAAAGGTAAAAATTTGATATAATGTAAAGCATTTTATACTAAGCAAAATCCTATTGGATTTGAATGTAATACATATTAGATGATTAAATAAAAAATATATTTTGTTCTTCTCGAATATAATTCAATTTGCAAATATCTTGAAAATGAGTTAAATTGTTTTAAGATTAAATAGGTTTTTAATTTTCAAACTATTATAAAAAATGTCAACTTTCTTCTACGCTTTAAAAATATACTGATTTTAATATTTTAAAAACCCTTTTAATACATGAAAATAAAAATTTTAATGTTTTAAAACATTACACTTTTTTAATATATCAAAACCATAATATTTTGAAAGCATAATTGATAACACCAAAAATCGATTTAAGAATCTATACCCATTTTAAACATATTTAATAATGATTGATTAGAAAGTAATGAGAAGTATGGACAATTTAAAATGGACATATTCAAGAGAAGAAAGAAGGCTCTTGAAATGAAATGAAATGAAATGAGATTATCTTTTTCCCATGCTAAAGTTAATTTATGTATAATTTTTTGTAAAAAAGAGATATATGAGAGCTTTAAACAAATTAACTTAAACATATACTAACTTTAAGTTATGGAGAGTAATTTCAATTTTTATTCTTTCTTTTTTCTGTAAGCACTTATGGAAAAACTCGTCAAAATAAATTCATAGAACTCCATGGTTTGTTGATGAAACGTTGGGAATTGTTCCAGCATTCTATCAAATTTTACATTGCATCCATCGTTTAAAATTTTATTTTCTTGAAACACACTAAATTAATTCTGAAAATTTTTATATGAAATAAGAGTGGGTGAGTGTCTATGAGTATCTTTTGGAAAAATGTTCTTAAAATTAACTTAGTACGTTCTGAAAAATAAAATCTAAAAAGGATGAGTTACATAAATAGATTTGATAGGTCCACGAAAAAAACCTGCCTAAAATGTTTCCTTTAGCTTCTAAAATTATTTGAGAGAACATCTTGTGCACGATTTACCTGTTCTTTGTCTCTTGCTTCTTTTTCTCTTATTTTTCTAATGGTAAAATCGTCGTATATTTTTTAATTTGATTTCCCGTTTTCAAATATTTGTACAGGAAATACTGAAAACTATTTTTTTTACTGTATCTTCTACAAATATTTAAAAATTTAAAAAGAATTTGTTTCCAATAATCTCATGTCGCATTTAGAAATTGAGATTTAAGATAATTTAAATATTATTTTTCTCTTTCTATTTTTTTAGTTGTCTTTTAAAAATAAAATTCAATCTCTAAAAAAAATAATACTTCGAATATATAGTGATTAATCACCATGTCACATGCAGACTTTGGATCAGAACATTAAAGCTCATTGTAGTGCTAATAATGGAACATTCAATCTTTATTCCCTCTATTAGGAATGATAAGTCATTTTTCTTAGACCCTAACACTACTATTCAAGAGACTTGGTATAGGAACATGGAAACTCACTCTTCTATCGATAATGAAACATTCGGTCTCTTAAACCCTTCACTTAGAATGACTTCAAAGTAGACAATATCTCAAATATATGGTGATTGACTCTAATAAAAAAAACAAAAATACCAAGTAACCACTCTCTTAGTTATCATAATCACTCCCTTAGTTATTTAGGAATAGCTAAAATGTATATTTGTCTTAATTTCTTCAAAATTTAAAGAGTAATAACACAATGACATATTTTTACATTCATTTGACATACAATATGAAAGTAAAATAGTCATAAAAAAAGTAAATTTTTGTATTTTTTTCAAGAAAAGAGAGAGTAAAAAAATATAGTATCAAATAAATATAAAAAATTTAGGGTTAAATATGTCTTTAGTCCCTAAACTATTGGTCGTTTCTGGTTTTCGTCCCTCTTTCAAAGTAAGGTACAATTTGGGTCCTCATTCTTTTCGAAACGTTCGTTTTAGTCCTCAGAACTTTGGTTTTAGTCCTCATTTTGTTGCTAAATGAGGACCAAATTTTTAAACGGTGTTAGTTTTCGAGGACTAAAACGAACGTTTTCGAGGACTAAAACGAACGTTTTCGAAAAGAATGAGGACCAAATTGTACCTTACTTTGAAAAAGGGACGAAAACCAAAAACGACCAATAGTTTAGAGACTAAAAACATATTTAACCCAAAAATTTATGTATCTCAAAGTATATTTTTCAGGTTTAAATTACAAACTTTTTCATGAAATTATTTATTTCCAATTGGTGTAAAAGTCATTGACTTCACACAAAATAAAGCAACTTGCATACTATGTATAAATGAGAGGCCAATAAATGCAAATTCATATATTTTACCATTCTACACGCTTGAAATAAACTTAAGTGAGAGGTCAATCAATTTCAATGAAATAAATGATACAATGGACTTTACTCATAGAACTAGGGGTAGGTTTATTTTGTTCACCAAGTTTAAAGTTGATCTCTTTAAACGTTAATAATTTGAAAGAAAAGTTTTTTAATCCCTTTTACCCCAAAATTATAAAAAATGTGTTTATTTGACTAATGTATTATGTCCTTTGATTTTGGATTCTTAACATAAAACACTTTATTACATTTTTTTTCAAAGTATTCATTATGACGATATTGAAGTAAAATGGATTTGGACCAAGGGGCTAAAATAGACTTTTCCTTTAAATTTCAAGGACTTAAATCAATTTTAACTGTAAAAGACCAAAATCATTTTTAACGTTAAAATAATGATATATTATGCATATTTAAAAATTAAGTGATTAGTTTTCCTGATATACTTTTAAAAAAGGAAAATCTGATTGACTAAATATAATAAGAAGAAGAGTTATTAAAAAAGGAAGAAGATAAGAGAAAAATTCAATAACCAAAGGTGTTTCCTTTGTCATAAGAAAGGTAATTTTTCTAGGAATTGTTCTTAGAACAAATAAAAGGTAATAAAGCTTATCTCTGCATTCAATCTTAATAATATTAAAGAAATTGAGTTCATCTACTATAATTTGCTTACTATCTTTTAAGAATAGATTATTGGTGTACCGTAGGGCTTGTGTACCGTAAGGACTTGTGTATCGTAGGGGTCGGACGACTATAAATTATCTTGTGGTTGATATGGCCGGACGGTTGAAGGAAAGACGATCGGTAAGAGTTTGTATTATGTACCGTATAGGCCGAACGGCTACAAGACCATCTTATGGTTGATCTGGCTGGATGGTTGAAGGAAAGACGATCGGTAAAAGTTCATACTATATACCGTATAGGCCTGACGACTACAAGATCATCTTATGGTTGATCTGGCTAGACAGTTGAAGGAAGTACGATTGGTAAAAGTCCATAATCATATTTGCGCAAACCTTGGTAAGAAGCAATTAGAGTCATTGGGCTGAGATTGGATCGTGATTAAGGTTTTACTAATCTAAACCCATGGCGAAACCTACAATTATAGGTCAAAGATAAGAGGTAGGGGGTTCACATTTTTTACTATGCATCTATTGTTGATTTAAACCTATCGAAAGAACTATCTAATGAAAGTGTTAGAAGTGACTCGACCTTGTAACCGAAACAATTGAGTTGACTAATTACAATAATAATAATATTTTATGAAAAATTAGTGTATTACCAAATTATTTCGAATATAAGTAGAAGATTTTTTTTAATCCAGGGGCATCTAATATCTTCTTATTAGGGATTTCTTAATTTTTCATATNTCAAAAGTCATTGACTTCACACAAAATAAAGCAACTTGCATACTATGTATAAATGAGAGGCCAATAAATGCAAATTCATATATTTTACCATTCTACACGCTTGAAATAAACTTAAGTGAGAGGTCAATCAATTTCAATGAAATAAATGGTACAATGGACTTTACTCATAGAACTAGGGGTAGGTTTATTTTGTTCACCAAGTTTAAAGTTGATCTCTTTAAACGTTAATAATTTGAAAGAAAAGTTTTTTAATCCCTTTTACCCCAAAATTATAAAAAGTGTGTTTATTTGACTAATGTATGATATGTCCTTTGATTTTGGATTCTTAACACAAAACACTTTATTACATTTTTTTTTCAAAGTATTCATTATGACGATATTGAAGTAAAATGGATTTGGACCTAGGGGCTAAAATAGACTTTTCCTTTAAATTTCAAGGACTTAAATCAATTTTAACTGTAAAAGACCAAAATCATTTTTAACGTTAAAATAATGATATATTATGCATATTTAAAAATTAAGTGATTAGTTTTCCTGATATACTTTTTAAAAAGGAAAATCTGATTGACTAAATATAATAAGAAGAAGAAGAGTTATTAAAAAAGGAAGAAGATAAGAGAAAAATTCAATAACTCCTTTGTCATAAGAAAGGTAATTTTTCTAGGAATTGTTCTTAGAACAAATAAAAGGTAATAAAGCGCATCTCTACATTCAATCTTAATAATATTAAAGAAATTGAGTTATCTACTATAATTTACTTACTATCTTTTAAGAATAGATGATTGGTGTACCGTAAGGGCTTGTGTACCGTAAAGACCTGTATATCATAGGGGTCGGACGGCTATAAACTATTTTGTGGTTGATATAGCCGGACGGTCGAAGGAAAGACGATTGGTAAGAGTTTGTACTATGTACTGTATAGGCTGAACGACTACAAGACCATCTTATGGTTGATCTGGTCAGATGGTTGAAGGAAAGACGATCGGTAAAAGTTCGTACTATATACTGTATAGGCCGGACGGTTACAAGATCATCTTATGGTTGATATGGCTAGACAGTTGAAGGAAGGACGATTGGTAAAAGTCCATAATCATATTTGTGCAAGGTTTAAGGTAAGAAACAATTAGAGTTATTGGACTGGGAATTGGTCATGATTAAGGTTTTACTAATCCAAACCCATGACAAAACCTACAAATATATGTCATAGGTAAGAGGTAGAAGGTTCACATTTTTTACTATGCATCTATTGTTTATTTAAACCTACCGAAAGAACTATCTAATGAAAGTATTAGAAGTGACTCGACCTCATAACCGAATCAGTTGAGTTGAGTAATTACAATAATAATAATATTTTATGAAAAATTAGTGTATTACAATTTTTCATATATATATATATATATATATTTTTTCTCATATATATTAATCATTAAATTATTAACCATTAAATTATTAAAACATTAAATTATTTCTCCTATCTTCTTTCTTTTTTTCTGATACTCTACCCCGCATACACGCTTTCACCTTCACCACTGTATCATCTCCACATCCCACAACCGAGCCGTGTCTTCTCCGCCGCTTCCGAAAACAGGGCCGTGTCTGGCCCAAAGAAGGGTGTCCGACACCGTCTCGTGCACGCTACCGCTGAGTGTCCGTGTCCGCACCGCGTCGGAAGCGGAGAAGCACGGCCTCCGAGCCGTGTTGGAGCTTCACTAAATCTATTAATACTCCATCGGTTAGTTTGGAGAAATCTTCACAATCCCTTTTTCTATCAAGTTTTTTAACTGCGTAGTACGAGGTTTTTGAACTTCTGTTATTGCAGAACGGTGAAGGGAACTTGCAGAGTGATGCATTTATCGGTAAGTTTTAAAAAATCTTCACAACCCTTTTTCCGTCAAGTTTTGGTCATAAAAGTTTGGCATCTTGTTTGAGAAAATAATTGCTACTAGAGAGGAATAATAAGTTAGCATTTTTCTTTATTAATCATGTTAACAAAAAAACTAGTTACCAATGTTTGCTTCCGCGATGAATTTTTGGAAATGGAGTAAGAGATGTGTGCTGTTATTACTCATTTTGTGGTTCCATGTGCTTACTTATTGTGACGTGAATCTTTTGACTTACTGGTTAAAATATCACAGGAGATATCAGGTTCAGGTTTTAATCAAATATTTCAATGATGGGCACCTACTGCAATAATAACCTAGTGTGTAACTTGTATTACCCACACTACTCAATAACCAATCGTGGTGTTCTGTCTAGAAGAAACTCATCATGCCAAAACCCAATTTATTTTGGTTTCCACAAACACCGTTTTGGTTCAGTACTAGCTGGTATTGGTATGGAGGAAGTTGTTAAAGAAGTGAATGGAGAAAACGAAAGAAGGTTTAGGTGGATTGAGGTTGGCAAAAAGGTCACAATTGAACAACGACAGGCCATATCTGAACTTCCTTTCAGGATGTCCAATCGAAGTAAAGCCTTGATGAGACAGATTATATGTTTTTCTGCAGAGAAAGGCACCATATCTGATCTTTTGGAATCATGGGTGAGGATTATGAACCCTATCAGAGCAGACTGGCTTTCATTTCTGAAAGAGTTGAGAATAATGGAACATCCTGTTTACCTTGAGGTATTTCACATTTTCTGTTTCTTTGATACGTTGTAGTGAAGTTTGAACTTATGCCAACTTTCCAAATTCCAAATTGCATATGGTAGTGTTTCATTTACACCATTAGTTTTGTTGGTTTTAAATGTGATGTCTCATACAAAGATGCCAGTTTGAGGTTCATGTATTTACATAAAAGTAGTGAAGTGACCTTTTTAATAAATAAAATAAACAGTTAAATATACATGTATTATGAAAATTGACGTGTTATCCATTTTATGGCTCTGTGATTAATAGAGGGGAAATGCAGTTTTTTCCTCTGACCATCTAAATGTTCTTGTCTGTCTAGAAAGTTTGTGTAGTAAGGGAGTGATTCACTTTGGGTTGAAAATATTGGAATGAAAATTTAAGCCAAATTATATTTTCCCAACTGTTTATCGAGGTGGGTGATAACTTTCTTACCTGAACCTATGCAACTTATAATATATTTTGTTTGCATTTTTTATGGCTAATTTCTTGCAGTCTAAAATTACTTTGTGCTTCTATGCACATTTTAAGGTTGCAAAACATGCTCTTCAAGAAGAATCTTTTGAAGTCAATATTCGTGACTATACAAAGATAATTCATTATTATGGCAAGCACAATCTACTAGAAGATGCTGAAAATTTTCTCACACTCATGAAGGAAAGGGGTTTCATCTATGATCAAGTAATTCTGACTACCATGGTGCACATGTACAGCAAGGCTGGCCATCATGACCGGGCCAAGGAGTATTTTGAAGAGATCAAACTGCTTGGTGAACCTTTGGATAAAAGATCATATGGCGCAATGATCATGGCCTACATCAGAGCTGGAATGCCTGAAGAAGGAGAGAATTTACTTCAAGAAATGGAGACACAAGAAATAACCGGAGGGAGTGAGGTTTATAAGGCACTGCTTCGAGCGTACTCTTTAATTGGCAATGCTGAAGGTGCACAAAGGGTGTTTGATGCAATTCAATTGGCTGGTATCACCCCAAATGATAAGATGTGCAGTTTGGTTGTTAATGCTTATGCAATGACTGGACAAAGTCAAAAGGCTCTAATTGCATTTGAAAATATGAGAAAAGCAAGTATCAAACCCACTGATAAATGCATAGCTTCAGTATTGGTTGCTTATGAGAAGGAAGGTAAAATAAATACAGCATTGGAATTTCTACTAGATTTGGAGAAAGATGGCATCATGGTTGGGGAAGAAGCCTCTGCAATATTAGCTAAGTGGTTCCGAAAACTAGGGGTGGTGGAAGAGGTGGAGCTCGTTTTAAGAGACTTTGCCACCAGTCACCAGATAAGTTAATGTGGAAGTTACTGCATATTATTTATTTGAAGCTCTATGGATCTATTTTAACTGTTTTGAAAATGAATTAATATGCAATGCAATGAATATTTGAACTGTTCTGGAAAAGGTTCTTTGATGAAAGTTTCTCGATGCAGTGGTACTCTAGCTTTGAGATATCATGAACATTATGCAATTTGCACTGAATTTTCTTCTGTTTTTTCCATCCCTGATCAAGCCACCAGAGCTACTATGCTGGATATAAAGATAATGAACCAATTTAACCCTTTTCCTTTATCATTGCATTTCTNAAACAAAATTTAGCTTTCTCCCATTTTTACCCTCAGTCAATAAACAATTTTTTTAAAACAAAAATGATGTGACCTGTGTCATATGAGTGTAAGTGACACGTAGGCATGTCATTGTATTACTACTCAAAATATTTTACAAACACCTATACTATACCACGCATACAGTAGTAACAACCCAAAGAAAAAAAAAACAATACCTGGACCCACCTTGCTTAATTTACTTAGACACGTAACCACATAGTCATGATAAATGCAATATTTATCTACTCTGTCTCACATAAAGATATCATTGCCATGCAAAATAAAATCTATAATATGATTTTTTCTCTCTTCAAAATAATAACCTGCAACAAAGAAATGCCTTCCACCTTCTCCCTCAAATAAAAATACAACCTTTCTTTAACTTATTTCGAAAATTAAATAAAATAATGATTAATTCATTTTTCACACATCGCCTTAACACTTTTATCACTCAATAAAATACTTTGAATTAAATATTTAATATTAGAAATTCTAAAAATAAAATAAAAAGTCTTTTTATTTTATCCGGATTTGACAATGATCAAGTTAAGTTGATTCTGATCTAAGTCAAATCGATTCTACTTAGGTTTAAGTCGAGTCAACTTGACACAAAGTCAAGTTGAGCTCATCTTGACCAAAATTGAGATAAGTTAGCCTAGGTCCAAGTTAAGTCGAGTCAACCTAAAAGTAAATTAATTTGAGAAAAATTGAACCCAAGTCGAGACAAGTTAACTTAGACCCAAGTTCAATTAAGTTCCCTTGGGTTGAAGTTGAGCCAATTCAAACTTGAACCAAATCGAGTCGAGTCCACTTGGGTTAAGGTTAAGGTGAGTCAACTTGATCCCATGTCTAGCCGAGTCAATCTAGACTGAAGTCAAGGTAATTCAGTCGGACCTAAGTAAATTAATTTCGTTAGGGTTGGGGTTGATTTGAGTAGCCTAGGCCTAAGTTGAGTCTAGTCAATTCGAATTCAGGTCAAGTCAAGTCGATTCAAGTCTAGATCAACTCATATTAGCCAAACCTTTATTAAGTGAAGTCGACTTTAACTCAAGTCGAACTAAGTATTACAGTCCCAAATTGACTCAAGCCTAGTTTAAGCCAAACCAACCTAAGTCTAGGTTGAGCTTAGTTGACCTTAGACGAGTTAGTCTGGATCCATGCTGAGGTGAGCTAGCCAAATATAAATCAAGGCGAGTTAGTCATATTCAAGTTAAAACGAGTTAGTTGGACCTAAGTCGAGCCATGTTGACAAGTCCTGTTTGAGTTGTATAATCCCAAACTTAGGTTAACTCAAGATTAATCAATTTAATGTTAGATTTGGTCAACTAAGTGTGACCTAATTTATATCTAGTTAGATTTAAATGGAATTAAACAGATTAAGTATGTGTGTTTAATTCATTCATAATATTATCATTAAATTAAAACCATAATCCAAAGTCAACTTTATCCTATATCAAACTTAGATTTATTCATATCAAATTTAGTCTAAATTACATAATAAATTAATCTCATTTAAATTAAATTGAAAAAAATTCAAATTGATCTTATTAAAATAAATTTAAATTATAAATCCAATTTGCTTTATTAAATTTGAGTTAGATCTAACCTCACTTTTAAAAAAGTCCAATTTATCTTCACCCATAAATAAATATTAAATTTTGCTTAAAGATACAAATATATATTTTTTATAAGAAAAACATCTCTTATAAGACTCGATTGATTTGATATGTTTTATGTCTTGAGAGAAGAAGACATAATTGTCCTATGGAGTGGTACTCATTTCTACATAAAGATAATGTTTTACGCATATGAAGTCAAACTTTTTCCTTATCTCTTCCTCTAACTTTTTTTCATGTTATTATTAATTACGAATATTGCCAATTTTGATATCTGGCACTCATATTTTTTAGCATATTATTTATTTTATTTTTCAACAAAATTTTTGGAAAGATTTTAGTGAATATTTTCTCAGAGAGATGTATGTGTGACTACACAAAGGTGTCATATATATATATATATATAGCTTGTTAAAACAGGTCATTTGGTTTGATCCAGATAATTTATCATGAATTAACGGATCATTTGGTTGATTCGGATAATTTATCATGAATTAACTATTTAATAAGTTAATCTAATCTAATTTATTTTTTTAATAAGTCGAAAATATTTGAATTTAGTTTATGCTTTAAAAGTAAATGAGTTAATTTAGTTACAGGTTCTTTTAATTAAAAAAATAACAAAAATTTTATAATTTAAATTTAAATAAAGAATAATAAAAATCTTAAATTAAATTTATATTCGATCAAATGTAAAATTTTATTTACACAAAAATATTTCAAAATTTTCCAACAAAATCTTCAATAACAATATAACGATTCAAATTTATTTTTATATTCAAATTTATTTTTATATAAAAAATTGAGTTAGTAAATAAAAATTTATAAAGTCTTGTATACAAAAATCATTTTACACAAACTTTTATTTTAATATTTTATAAAATGACTAATCTAATAAAAATATATTTATTAAAAATTTGGCAATTAAAGCTTACAAAATTAACTTATATCAAAATTTAAAAAAAAATGATCTAACTCAATGAATCCGTGATTAACTTAATTAACTCATAAACTTTAACCGTTTTAACAACTAGTAAATATTTATGATGCAAATATCACATCAATATTCAAGAACATAAATATTATTTAGTATAAAAAATATTAAAGATGCACTCGGGTAAATAATTGAATTAGAGATTTTCTTTATATATACTTTTTGATGATGTGTTGAAAAAAAATTATTTAAAATAATATTTTGATTTGGAAAATCTATATTTTTTTGATATTAAATTATTTGTGCATGTTTTCGAATATATTCTTGGTAAATGCGTTTCATGGAACATTACTTAAAGAAGTAAAAGTAATGCGTTTAAAAATTAGAAAAACAAAATACTGACAACTATTTAGATAAAGCTGAAATTTAAATATCTTAGATGAAAAAAGTATTTTAATTTATTAAAAAATAAAAATCAACATGAAAGACCATGATTCCGTCAACCAAAAATATGCTCAGCTACACAAAGTTATCTTTCCAGTCCTCTCGTTCCCATAAATTATTTTCAAAATTAAAATTAAATTTCTTAAACGAGATGTTCATAATCTTTATCTCATAATCATTTTAACACATACTTTTTAACATTTTAACACAACATAACATACTGTCATTTTTTATTAATTTATTATTTATTTATTATTATATTAACGTATTTTAAATTCAATAAAAAATAATGTATTTGCTGTGTTAGTTGTAAAAAAATTGAAATAAGATATTATATTACAATAACAAATTATTACTTTTTCCCGTGTAAAAACATTTTTACTACTTTATCATAAGAGCGTGTAACATTTGGGCGACGAAATCATAATTGTGTTCCTCTTATGCCAAACTTTTTATGTCGGTTGGAAAAGTTTTTTACGAGGAACTAAATGAATTTTACAAATTAAAATTATTGTATACAAAAATTTATTCATTAAAAATCTCTCATAATTTTCTAAAAATAGTTTATGCATAGAAACTGTCACTGAAAGCAATTTCTCCACACATTCCTCCTACTATCTTAAAATAATTTCCAACATTTTTTATTTTGATATACTTTTACTCCATCAAATCACTAATATGTTTTGAAAAATATTTTTTTTATAATTTATTTACAACATCGACGAAATTAATTCATTTTAAATATTTTTTAAAACAAATTAATAAAATAGTGACATAGAATTTATTTATAAAAAATGGTTAACATTTCCAAATCAATATTTTTCTATTATTATTCTTTTTCTCTTATATTTGTTTCACTTTTCTTCGTTTCTTTTTTAAGGTATAACTCGTTCCAATTACGTAAGATCGCCGTTGACTACAGTTTTTTTTTAGTTGTTTACGGAATCACACACTGAAAAATTCTAACTCAATCATGATTCCACCAAATAAAAAAATTAAATTCTGGTTGTTGTAATGTGAGTCTGTTATTTTTGACGACAGATGAATTTTCACACTGCATCAGATAATGCAACAAGATTTAAAAGTGACATGAAAACATGAATATTGAAGGTTTACACTGTACTGAGACAAAGGACAAAAATTACATCCTTTATTGACTAATTAGGAAAATAACAAGATGCATCAAACAGTGTAGATGCCTCCAACAATCATTGATTTTATTTTGTGAATCTGATTAGTGAAATGATTTAAAGATAACCATTTTGCTTGCAGCATTCAATCGCATCAGTAAAAATGTCCTCCACACTATACTTGAACTCAAAGCCAGCATCCACCAGTTTCTGCGAGTCTAAATGTGGCAACTTCGCACCTTTTATTTCCTTCGCCTCTCTGAAGGAACAACACAAATCAATCATTACTCCTAAAGTTAATACAAAACCAGATACTGTATAATTGTCACACCAACTTTTAGATTTGTGAATTGTGTAATGATAGAAACTGTGACTGAAACTGCAATATCTGAAAAGTTGACTATGTGCAAGGAGAACAGAACTTACTCTACAGATGGTATTTGAAATTCTGGGTATTTGGTTGAAATAATTTCAGCAATCTCTTCAATGGGTACAATGAAGGGTGAACAGTTATATCTCCCTTTGGGATTAGGATGCTCCAGCAGAAAGATATGTGCTCTAGCCAAATCATCCACATGAACCATATGGTAACGAATCACTCCAATTTCTTCCTTTTTGCCTGCATCAATTTAACGCCAACTTCAATTATACAACCTTTAATCTTGTGAAAAGGTGTCATGATTTCGATAGAACTCAGTTTGAAACATGAAAAGTAAAAAGGAATAAGAGAGTGGAATAAGGTGTAAGAAGTGTACCAAACAACAAAAGCAGTGCTCTTTCAACAGAGTCAGGAAGCTTGGGACAGATGAAACGTCCAACAACAAAGGGAGGCACAAGACTCACAACTTCCAATCCATTCTGTTCTCCAAACTCAAACACTGCCTTCTCTGTCAACACCTTTGAAACTGTATATGACCAACCAAATGGCTTCACACTCCTAAGCAAATCAACATCACTCCAAGCACTTTCATCAACCACATCTTGTGGCTCTGGGCCAGTGAAGGAAACAGTGGAAGCACTAGAAGTGTAGACAACCCTCTTCACTGTCTTTGATTTCACAGCTGCTTTCAGTATGCCTAGTGCTCCCTCTATGGCCCTTTTGGTCACAACTTCTTCTGGCTCGTTCACTGCAAAATCAATTGGTGTGGCAGTGTGAAAAATCCCAACACACCCTTCTACTGCTGGACCAAAACTCTCTGGGTCGCTCAGATCAGCATTGAAAAAATGTAGCTTTTCAGATGCATCTGGTAGATTTGTGAGAAAGCTAACATCCCTTTTGCCTCCTGTTCATGCCAAAATAGAACATCATAATTATAACCTTGTCTAATAGTTGGTACAGTCATACACATACCAAATTCTGCATCATCATGGTCATAGTACTGGTTTTTCCATCGAAAGGGTTATTTACCTGGATGAGATCTTATGGTGGTATTAACAGAATATCCATGTTCAAGGAGTCTCTTGATGATCCATGAAGCAATGAACCCTGTGCCTCCTGTGACACAAACTTTATCTTTTCCCTTTTCCATTTGAATACTCTTAATGTGTCACTCTTCAATCTCCGATACTTTTCTTCTGGTTGCTCTTTGTGTGTATAAGAATAACATATCTATATGTTTCATTTCTTTCAGTTTCTGTTTATTTTAGCTATGAGATAAAACAGAAAAAGACTGATTATGCATTAATAAAATCCTGTCCTCTACATATATAATTAATTAATAGTGATGTACTTAAAT